CTCGCGAGTGGGTCGACATGCCAGCCCACGTGTAACGCGGGGTACACGGTGTCCGGGACGAGCTCATGCAGCGCTGGAACACTCACGGCGGCGACGTGTGGCCCCAGCCCATGCGATGCGTCCGCTGCTCCTACGAACGGCGGCGTCGGCGACTGCACGAGCTCTCTCGCGAGCGGGTCGACATGCCAGCCGACGTGTAACGCGGTGTACACGGTGTCCGGGACGTCCTCTTGCAGTTTCGGAACGCTCACGGCGGCGACGTGCTCGGCGAACGCTTGCGATGCGTCCGCTGCACCTACGAACGGCGGCGTCGGCGACTGCACGAGCTCTCTCGCGAGTGGGTCGACATGCCAGCCCACGTGTGGTTCGGGCTACACAGTGTCCGGAACGAGCTCATGCAGTCTCGGAACACTCACGGCAGCTACATGCTCTGCAAACCCATGCGACGCGTCCGCTGCTCCTACGAACGGCGGCGTCGGCGACTGCACGAGCTCTCTTGCGAGCGGCTCCACGTGCCAGCCGACCTGTGACTCGGGCTACACAGTGTCCGGAACGAGCTCATGCAGTCTCGGATCGCTCACGGCGGCGACGTGTGGCCCCAGCCCATGCGATGCGTCCGTGGCACCAACGAACGGCGGCGTCGGCGACTGCACGAGCTCTCTTGCGAGCGGCTCCACGTGCCAGCCGACGTGCAACGCGGGGTACACGGTGTCCGGGACGAGCTCTTGCAGTCTCGGATCGCTCACGGCGGCGACGTGTGGCCCCAGCCCATGCGACGCGTCCGCTGCTCCTACGAACGGCGGCGTCGGCGACTGCACGAGCTCTCTCGCGAGCGGGTCTACGTGCCAGCCGACGTGCAACGCGGGGTACACGGTGTCCGGGACGAGCTCATGCAGCGCCGGAACGCTCACGGCGGCGACCTGTGCCGTCACGTATTGCGCCGCGAACGAGCGCGTCAACGGCGGTAACGCGTGCGTTCCTTGCATCGGCGGGTCCGTCAACGCCGCGGGCGACGACGCGTCCGGTTCCGAGGTGCGTCCCACGCACTGGTCCTCATACGGCCGCGTTCGCGCGGCGCGCGCCATTCCTTATTAAATTTAATAGGGACTTTTCCCGCGTGTGTTTTTCTCCGCCCAGGGTCCCTCGCTTTCAATCCCCGACCTCGACGCCTTTCAACTCCAACTGACGCCTTTCAAATCCACCCCGACATCGCTTCGTATGGAACGGTCGACCCTCAGACGTTTTGCGAATGCTCGAAGGACGAGCGTGTCGCATCGAACGCGTGCGTCGCGTGCGCCGCGGGGGAGATGCGCGTCGCCGGCGACAAAATCCCGGGCGTCGACACCGTGTGCCTGTGCGACAGCGGGTACCACGTCGCGTCCAACACCTGCACGAAATGCGCGAGCGGAAGCGATCGCGCGAGCGGCGACGACCCGTCGGGCGCGGACACGAGCTGTTTAGGCGCGTCCTACGCACGCGCGTTTCACCCGTCCGTCCATCGGTTTCAACGTTCGATCGCGTCTACGCGTACTTTCAACTGACCACGACCGGTGCACTCTTTGCGTACGTAACGCCCCTCAGGCGTCCCCCCGACCGCGGCGGAGTCCCCGGAGACGGCGATCAACGCGGCCGCGACGCTCTCCGGGTACACCGCCGCGACGTTCGGCGCGACGGAGCGTGACGCGTTTAAAAACGCGATCGCGAGCTCGCTCGACACGGTGCCGTCGGCGGTGACGATAGACTCCGTCGCGAACGCGCGGCGACGACGACGCGGGAGAAGCCTCCTCCAGTCCGGAAGCGTCTTGGTGTCGTTCACCGTCGCGACGTCGTCCGCGTCGGCGGCGGCGAGCGCGAGCGCGTCGCTGACGTCGTACGGTTCGGGCGCCTCCGCGGCGACGTTGCTGGCGTACTTGAAAGCCTCCGGTTTGTCGATGCTCACTGGCGTCGCCGTCGACGTCGTCGTGGAGGCGCGTTCTATCTCACACTGGTTCCCGTATACGACCGCGTCGGCGCGGCGCGCGCCGATCCTCGAGGACCTCACTTCCCGCGCGCGCGTCTCTCCGCCCGGGCGGGTCCCTCGCCGGTTTTGATCCCGACGTGCGCGCCGCGACGCCTTTCAACTTCATCGACTGACGCCTTTCGACTCCGCCCCGACGTTCTTCGCTTCGTATGGAACGACCCTCAGGACGTCGCCACGCGAGACGACGCCGACACGCCGTCGAGCGACGCGTTTTGCGTCGGCGATTTGTGCATGTCCGCGTGGTATATTTTCGCCGTCGCCGTCGGCGTCGCGGTCGCGTGCGTCGCGGCGGCGGCGTACGCGTCTTGGAGAGCGGTGCGGCGAAAACAAAAACGCGCGCGCTCCGGGGGGTTGCATCTCAGGCGCGTCCTAGTCACGCTGGTCCCCGCGCGACCGCGTCGGCGCGGCGCGCGCCGTTCCTCGAGGCCTTTGCCCGCGCGCGCATCTCTCCGCCCAGGGTCCCCCGCCGCTTTCAATCCCGACACCCCTCGGTGCCTCACGACTCCGCCACTGACGCGTCCCTGAACGCCACCCCGACGCGCTTCGCTTCGCGCGGACCCTCGACCCTCAGTAACGTCGACGTGATCGACATGACCTCCGGGGAGAATCGGCGGAGCATCGTGTCCGGGTTTCTGTCCATGCTGCTCGCGCCGCGGCCGACGGAGACGAGGGGCGTCGGTACCGACGCGTCCGTACCGACGCGCGGGTGGAGCGATAACGACGTGTGGACGGCGGGGAGAGAGGGCTCTCCGGATCCGGATCGGATCGCGCGCGCGCTGGCGGGAACGCCCCCGGAGACGAGGAACGGATGGAGCCGCGTGCGGGCGATGCTTCGATCGTCGTCCTCGTCGAGCGGGCGGAAGTATAAAGTATAAACGCATTCTAGAGAGAAAGATCAGCGACGTTGTTCATAAGTTATAGGGCGTATTGTATGTTGTAATTCTAAGTTGATAAGAAGTTGATAAGAAGTGTATTACTGCGCACGCGTGCGCGGCGCGTCTGAGCGCGTTCGACGACGACGTTCGAGCGGACTGGACTTCCGATTCTAACTCACTTCACCCCCACGGCGACGTACTTCCTCTCGAAGCGCTTCACGCGCCCGTCCAGCAGCGAGTCGACGAAGAACTCGTGAAACAAGACGGGCACGCGGAGCCGCTCCGCGAGCCGCTTCAGCTCCCCCGGGACGACGCGGCCGCCTTGCGCGATCAAGTAGTCGCACGCGCCGCCGCCGCCGCCGCCTTCGTCGTCGTCGTCGTCGTCCATCGCCGCCAAAGCTTTCGGATCGACGACGTCCGCGCCCGCGTGACGCAGTAAGAGACCAAACTCGCGCGTGAACCGGTCGTCCCCGCACAGCGCGGCGACGCGCCCGGAGAAAAGCCCTCCGTCGTCGTCGTCGTCGTCGTCGTCGTCGTCGTCATCCGACGCAATCGCGGCGTGTCGTTTCGATAACAGCACCCCGGGCGGCGTGCTCGCTGGGGACAGCGCCCTCCCCGCGTCCAAGCTCGCGGTGATCCAGTACGGCTTCAACAGCGGCGCGCCCACCGCGGCGGCGTACAAGTGTTTCAGCGTCCGTCCCGGCTTCGGCGTGATCACCCGCATCCGGACGCGCGCGCGCCTCGGAGGCGCCGCGAACTGGCTCATCCGCGCGCCAACCTCCGGGGACGACGTGAAGTTATCCGGCGTCTCCGGCGGAGGCACCTCGGCTTCGACCTCGCCGCCGTGCAGCTCGATGAGCTCCGTGAGATCTTCGACGTCGTTTTTACTCGGCATCCCGGACAGGAGAAACGTCATCCCGGCGAACGTTTTCGTCGGCTTGCGTCGCTTGCGCGCGGACGCGGACGCGGTCGACGCCGCGGACGCCGAGGCCGGAGGTCTGCCGCGTTTCTTCGCAACCGATGACGTCTGCGGCGTCCGCGCGTGCAGCTGGTTCGTCAGCACCGTCTTGCGACGCTTACTCACGGACGACGGGGGATCGCTCGAGAGGTGCCCGCCCGGGCCCGCGGCGTCTTCTTTTTCGAATCGGACGCGGCGTTTCGGTCGCGTCGAAGCGGTCGCCGCGACCGCGCCTCGGTCGCCTCTGCCGCCGCGACCGCCTCGGCCGCCGGAAGAGGTCACAGTGGACGCGCTTCGACCGCCGTGACCCCCGCGACCGCCGCGACCGCCGCGACCGCCGCGACCGCCGCGACCGCCGCGACCGCCCGCGGTTTTCCACGGCAGTGGCGTGCCATTCAGCTTGTGATCCACGATCGCTCGGCACCTACCGCAACCGTTCTTCGCGTGGCGGCACTTGGGGCAGCCGAGTTTGATCTCGAGGCTGCGCGCGCTCGCCGGCGCGTCCGCGAGCGCGTCGTCGTCGTCGTCGGACATCGCCGCCGGCGCGTCGTCGTCCTCGTCCTCTTCCTCGTCGCTGTCTCGCATCGGGCTCGCGTCAGGGAAAGCTTGAGTGCCTCCGACGTACCACGTATCCGCATCCTCGTCCTCGTCATCCTCCGCGAGAGGCGCGTCATCGTCTTTCCCTTCTTCCGCGTCTACGTCGTCGGAAAGTACGACGACATCTGGCGAGTCCTGTCGCCCGGCTTCGTCCCACGGGTCCTGGCTACGTTCCACGGCGTCGTCGGAGTCGGACTCGGACTCGGACTCGTCGCCTTGCGACTGCGAAGGGAACTGGCTATCCCCGAAAAACTTTCTCGGCTTTCGCGTCCTCGCCGGTCGACGGTCGCTCACGGGCAAGGCCCCGAGCATGAGACGACCCGCGCCGTCGTCGGGGTCTGGATCGCTCGCGTCGTCGTCCTCGGAGGTTTCGTTCGACTGCGACGGGTACTGGCTGTCGCCGTAGAAAGTGCGTTTCCTCCGTTGCCGCGTCGAACGTCGCGCGTCCGCGTCGGCAGCCTCGCTTGCGCGCCCGCGCCCCCTTCCTCCGCCGCGGCCGCCGCGAGGCGCCGCCGCCGGCATCGGCACGACCGCCTCTTCGTCTTCTTCTTCAAACCTGAAAGGATCTGTGAACGCGTGCTGCGACGGCGCGTCCGCGTCGACGTCCATCTCGTTCGCGCTCGCGTTCGCGTTCGCGTTCGCGTTCGTTCTCGCCCTCGCGTCCACCTCCGCCGCCTGTGACGTGGACAGACCAGCCGCGTCCGCGACGACGTCCCTGACCTGCTGCGACTCCATCACGCAGACGTCGGGGGATTCGGTATCGTCCGTGGCTTGGTGCACCGCGGCCGCGGCGGCGCCGGCCCACCCTCCCGCGCGAGCGACGCCCTCGCGCGCGTTTCGCGCGCGCGGCGGCGCCGCCTCGGACGTCGCGGGCTGGTACGATAGAGAGAACGGGGTGAACGGGGTCGTCCCCCGCGGCGCGGGTCTCCGCGTCCGCGGTCGCGTCGTTCCTCCGTCCCTCCGCCGTCGGCGCTTGCGTCTCGACGACGTTGGACGTCATCGACTGCGTCTGTTTCTCGGCCGACTTTCCGTCCGCGGGCGGCTGCGTCTCCGTGGCGAACGACGGGAGCGTCTCAGCGAGCGCGCCGTTCGCGCCGGCGGCGACGTCGAACTTCGCGCTCGCGTCGACGACGTCGTCGTCGCCGTCGTCGTCGCCGTCGTCGTCGTCCAGGTCGTTCGGCGGACCGAGCGACAGACTCATCCCCGCGAGACCTCCGAGATTGACGTTTCTTCGCTCGCGCGCGCTGATCGCGGCGGCGGCGGCGAGGCCGCGGACGCGCGCGGGGAGACGCTTTCCCGCGCCCGGGGACGCCGCGATCGACATCGGGACCTCGTCGTCCGCGTTTTCATCCGCGCCGCGCGCGTCGAACCGCGGCGCGGTCGGGGGTAACGTCGACTCCACCGTCGCTGTCGTCGTCGTCTTCGTCTTAGCCGCGGTCGGCGGCGGCGCCTCTTCGCGCGTCGCCGCGGCTTCTGCGGCGACTAAGTGCAGCGGCATCGCGGGCGATCCCCCGAGCGTGGACGGCGTCATCGTTGCGCCGCCCGCGCCGCCGCGCGTCTGCAACCCCGGCGGAGGAAACGTCGACGGAATCAGCGAGCACATGACGTCCTGCGCGGGCGTGCACGCGGGCGGCTGCGTGTTCCCCGTGGCGGGCGCGCAGGACGACAGGACGACGTCGACGGAGTACGGGTCCGACGCCGCGACCGGAGGCGGCGCTGTCGCGAGCGGCGACGCCGCGGGGCGTTCTTCCGCGGCGTCTCGCGTCGTCGCCGGCGGATCGTGCGCGCGCGCGGACAGACGACGCACCGCCGCGGGCTTCGCGGCGACGCGCAGGAAACCGGGTTGTCCGGGTTTAGGGCTCGACGCGGTCTTCGGCGCGTCTTCCGCGCGCGCGACCGACGCGGGGACGGCCCCGGTCCCGGCGGCGGCGACTTCGAGGGACGGCGACGCCGGCGGCGGCATCGCCTGGGTCCCGCCCGTCCAATCGAACGCGTCGCCTTCTTCGTCTTCGTCCGCTTCCGCGTCGCCGTCGTCGTCCGTTCCGTCGTCCGGCGCCCACGCCTGCGTGCCGCCGGCGTAAAACACATCCTCCTCCGCGTCTTCGACCTCCTCCTCCGCCGCGAGAACGTCCGCGGAGAACGTCACCGTCGGTGGTTTCGACGCCACCGGCGGCGTCGACGTCGTTCCAGACGCCGCGCGCGCGCCGGCGTCGTGCTGACTCGCGCTTCCCACGAACCGCGGCGGCGGCGGCGGCGCGTTTTGGTTTTCGGTTCCCTCCGTCGCCGTGCACGTCGTCGTCGTCGTCGTCGTCGTCGTCGCCCCGAGGCTTTCCCAGCCGTCTTTCGAGAACCCGACGTCGTTCAGCGCTTCCGCAGAGTCTGGCGAGGACGAGCACGGCGCGCCTCCGCCGCGTTCGGTCGCGTCGGTCGAGATCGAGGCGCCTCCTCCTCCCTGAGATCCCTCCAGGCCGAGATCCAGACGCGCGGCGTACACCGCGGCGACGGCGGACTTATCCGCCGCGACCTCGCCGCGGAGGACGTCGTTTATCACCGCCGTCTCCGTCGCGGTGACCATCGCGGAGACGGCCGCGCGTTCGTCCCCGAGCGTCGCCGCGGTCGCGGTCGCGAGGACCGTCGCCTTCGCGTGTTCGATGTCGTCCGCGAGAAGAAGTTTTCGAAGATGATGATGATGATGTCGCGGGGCCGGCGCGCTGTTCTCGACGTCGGCGTCGTCGCATCTCAGGGTGTACTCGTGCGACATGGACTGCGACGGGACCGCCGCCGCCGCCGGGGGTAGACTGGGGAACGACGACGTCATATTTACTATCCGAACGTCGTCGTCGTCCACGCCGGCCCGTCGTCCTGTCGTCGCGGGTCGATTTGATTTGGCAACCAGACCTCACGTGTACACGTACACGTACAGTACGTGTACACGTACACACAACCACCTATCAAATTACCGGGGATCCTCAGAGTCGACCGCAG